TACAACGCATTAAAGCTGATCATTTATGTATCCTTATAGAATGGATTTTTTTAAATGGTTGACGCATTCTAAAATCCTGCTATAAATTCTCACCATCATCTTAACTGGTTGTTTAAACTTGTGGCCTTGTGCCCTATTATTATATAACGTAAGGATACCGTCAATTAGAGAACAGTGATTTATCGACAGAACAAATGATGCATAAAACCCATACGAGCAGTCTAGATTCCTTATCGATCCTACTTCCCACCTAGCACTGCCTGAAAGAGTCCAGAACACCAATATCAGACTCCGCAATATCAATCATTTATTTCAAACATACTGGGTTTATATACAAACCAAACAGACCACATCGCACCATAAAATAGAAAATAACATTTGTACAAGATTTAACCAAAAGTGGCTGTGAATGCGGGAGGTAGTAACTGATAGACCAGGCATAACTCAAGAATGGTAAATCGTATAATAATAGTCTATGGGTCGAAATAAAGCTCATAACAAGAGGAACACGGATGTGAATAGTTTAGTTACTTAACAATTATATGATAGAAATATACTTATAATATTGGTCCATAAATTATATTTCCGATATTTCGTGATTCCATTTAGTCCACTTCTTCAGAGTAAATAAATAACCGAAATAAAATTAACACAATTTTATATTGTACAAATTAAACAATGAAGAATATTTTTAGTGTAATGAAAATCATAATCGGTCTGAAAATATCAGTGCTAAGTTATTTTTGGCAAGCTGAATTTGTATGACCTGTCACTGTATTAATTTGTACGTCAAAAGGTGGGTATAAAAAAGTGTATACATTTGTGGTATTAAGTAGTGAGGCTGGGAGTATATATATATATATATATATATATATATATATATATATATATATATATATATATATATATATAGATTGTGTGGAAATAAATATGGTCTAATGTGGTTGCTTGTTTAAACAGTCCACATTGAATGAATATTCAGACTTTCCTGTTCAGGCAGAATAATTTAGCATTATATGAAACGGTTCGTCTACTCGCCTCTCATTATAATTGGGAAAGCCTTTCTGAATTATTTTGATTTTTTTAATATGTTTGTCGATTATTACTGGTATTGTTGACTTATTTTGTAGATTCCCCAATTCTACAGTATTATTAGGTCTTTTTGTGTAACTTGAGTGTTCCGTGGCACAAGTCGGCATCACAGTTGACACAATCTAACCTGTAAACACAATTTTGTGTAGAAGTGAATGGTATCTTTTATTCTAACTAAAGCGTTTCTTAGAGTGTTAGTTATCTAATAGAAGATTTTAATGTTGTAAATTTTCAATATTCCTTTTGATTCTTCTGTCGTATCTCAGTATCAATCCAAGATCCTTCTTTAGGATTGTTATTTACAGAAAAAAAGTTTTTTTTACAATGGTTTTAATAATATTCTGCAGAAAATTATTAAACCATAAGATGTTTGTTATATTCTCACTTTCTCTTAGCTTGTCTTCTTTTGAAGTAATGGTCTTGGTTACTCTTTAAAATCCAAGCTATTAGTTGATTTCATAATGTATTGGTCTTTTTTTAAAAAGCTACTACTGAAATGCTTTTCTCGCTTCACCTTTTTTTCTTACACTAAAACTTATTATCTGAATTCTCTCAATCATCAAAACACGTTGTGATATTTTCATGCTTGTTGTTGTATGAGATGAGACGAAACTTTCGATGCTACTTTTGTACAATTTTATTTATGTATATATTGATTGAATGCTTAATAAATATTTTAGGTTTATTATTTTCATATTACCGTAACAACAAGTATCTATTTGAACCGTACATTGTTGTTATGGCATTTTCCACTGATAAACTAAAACCGATTATTTTCGTACCCAATTCTCCGTTTTTCCCATCATTCATTTTGTTATTCGGTGTTAATGCTGTTACTCAATTGGTCTGCTGTGCCCTCTGGTCTTGCATGTCTGAAATATAATAATGATCTTAGACTGATGATCATTGGTCTTCTATTCCTTCTCTTCGTTCGAGTCTAGTTGGTGTCGGATCAAGCATCATTATCGACCATCGATCGCCTTGTCCTTGTTTTGTATTAATTACTTAAGGTCGTCTACCCTTATTGGTCGGTTGTAGGACATAACAGCATATGTATGTATATCTACATTCTAAATGAGGACTGTTTGTCATCACATGAATTGGTGATTTTCAAGCTGGAAATACTCATTATTATTCTAATATTTTACAGTCTAATTAGCATACATTTGGTAAATTATGTGAAATCTATAATTAAAACCATCGAATTTTACTAATTTCAGTCATTATTATTGAAAGCAGTAAATAATGATCATTAATTTTAGTTCACATATTACAAAATTTAAGATCAAGTAATAATGCTTGTCGCTGAATAGTTGATAATATTATACTCGAATTACTTGAATGTATATCTTTTCTAACGTTTTCAAATTCTTAACTCTGTAGTACATCAACTAATATTGAAATGAACTCAATGCTAACATCCAGTTTAAAAGCCTCAGTTGTCAAACAAGTTGCCTTAACCCTCCCCCCTGCCCGACTTATAAGAATTATCATTAAACTGGTATCAGAATCTGACTGAAGAGATTGTTTATTTTTACGTTTATTTACAAGTTGATTGTTTGTTTATTTATTTATTTATTATTTAGAGTTTAGTTAAACTCAATCATAATAAGACTTTTAAGTATAAATTCTTTATTTATCTTTTAATTTAATTTTCATTATTCAATGTTTATGGTTATAATATCATATTTTATTAAACTATATATATAGAAATAGTTAAACGGTTCTATATTTCTTTAATAAACTCTCTTAGTTACCCTTTCGTCATTTGAAGTGAAATTCTTATAGTTTAGGTATGAATTGTGATATAATTGATAACAATTCATAAATAAAATGAATTTGGTTATTGTAATTCATTTGTCAATATTATTAATAATCATTGTTACTAGAATGGATTAATAAATAGTTAAATCTTAACATTATGTTATTTAATTGTTATATCCCGACGAGAATTATGAATGGTAACACTTGAGAACTATTTATGAACTAATACGATACATATATTTTTATTGTATATTTATTAAGTCGCTAAACTATGCATGTTCTTATTATCATAAGCTTTATTTTGACCCATAGACTATTATTATACGATTTACCATTCTTGAGTTATGCCTGGTCTATCAGTTACTACCTCCCGCATTCACAGCCACTTTTGGTTAAATCTTGTACAAATGTTATTTTCTATTTTATGGTGCGATGTGGTCTGTTTGGTTTGTATATAAACCCAGTATGTTTGAAATAAATGATTGATATTGCGGAGTCTGATATTGGTGTTCTGGACTCTTTCAGGCAGTGCTAGGTGGGAAGTAGGATCGATAAGGAATCTAGACTGCTCGTATGGGTTTTATGCATCATTTGTTCTGTCGATAAATCACTGTTCTCTAATTTTAGGTATCCTTACGTTATATAATAATAGGGCACAAGGCCACAAGATATAACAAATTCGTAGTACTGATGAAATAATGCTTAAATCCAAGTTTGCTATGTGACTTAAGTAGTTCAGTATTAAAGTCTTTACCAAATTATTTTGAAGATTCAAGCTTCAATCTCGTGAATTAATTCTGATTTCTTCAAAATGGTGATGCACCTTATTGTGATAGAAATTAGCTAACATATAATATAGGTATAAATTTTCTTGCCGGTTACCTAAAAATCTGCAATATAATTTGCTTTTTTCTAAAATAATTACAATTTACTGTAATTCGGTTTGTGAATACGTGTTATGTTTGCTATCCTAAGAGATGGTGGAGAAGATTTGTAGCTCAGGTGGATGATTTTGATGGAGTTTTGTTCTCTGAGCTGGATGGTTTAGTCGTGGAACTTTCATCGTTATTCTGAACGACATCATTAGCACAAACTTCAAGTAGAAGTGAAGTGTTCAAATTTCTCCATATGTGACTCGCAGTTTGTCGTGTAGACGTCGATCTAGATTGGTTATTGTTGACCTTAAACCTGTCATTGTTTACTTTTTGTTTTGATTGGTTTGGGATATATATTTCAAACGAATAATCTTTATAGAACCAAGCTGGGATATGTTCCCGTATCCGAGTTGAGAGCGAGCGCTGGCTACGTCCAATGTACCTTGCTCCACAAGAGCACGCGAACTTGTAGATGCACATAGAGGCGACCAGACGTGGAAGCTTATCTTTTATGGATACATCAAGATGATCTATCATTGATAATTAGACTTATTAACTAGCTATTTTGTTATTCCACTTCAAATCTTAAATACAGTAGTAATTTTACTTCCTTCGGTTTGTTCGGTCACTACTTTTTTTCTCGTTTTTCACTCCTCCTTCACTTTTTCGTTTCTTGTGTTATTTTTAGTTTTTCCTCTCATTGTGCCATTGTGTAGTGTATGTAAAATGTGGTTACTTAGATCAAAACACATTTTCGCCATGCACCACCTGTCTATCATCTATCTGCCTGTCTAGTCTTCCAGTACATCGTAAATAACCATCTCGTATAATATATGTTATCATAAACACTTTTTATATTGAATTCGATTTACGTGTATCAGACAAATTATAATCACTTCGATTGGTAGTAATAATTTTTCTAAATTGAAGAGATATATATTAGCACTTAATTTCAATTTGGTAAATCCAGGAACTATTCAGAAAAAGAACTGACGGTGAACCAGTAAAGTAACAGCTCGCTAGACCGAAAACAGACTGTAAGGAAGATATATATATATATATATATATATATATATATATATATATATATATATATATATATATATATATATTAATCCATTCAGTTACTGAGAAATAGATTCATCGCAAATGGAATGAAACACACCTTCTAGATTACACTGCCAGTCACCGTACATCTACTTTAAGAAACTTGTCTAACATCCGTTTATTTCTCATAATTCAATTTTATCCTCTCTTTCTTGTCCTCAGGTTGAAATGCGTAATTATGGTGAATTTTTCAGTGGAATTTGTGGATTTTTTGTAGTTGATGATTTTATTCGTCATACATTATCTGGTTCATCAGTATTTTATCAAACATATTTAGATGAATTATGGGTACATACAGTGAATCGTTTAATAGATTTTGTGCATGTTAATGCAAAATCGTGTGATTCACCAAATGATTTAATTAAATTAAAAGATTATTTAATTATTTTTGAAAGAACTATGCAAAATTTAGGCTTCCCAATAACTGGTCTAACTGAAACAATTGGTATTGTTCAGCGGTACTATCATAGACTATTAGCTAGTCAATGGAAGTCTAAGTAAGTGAAATTAATTTGAAAAATTCTTTCTATGAAATATATAATGTTGCTAGTCTGTTATTTAAACGTCTAAATATAATGGTTTTTTATTGTCCTATTTTACAACAAAATATCGTATTTACGAGTTATCAACGATTGGGATATCCTTCTAATATGAATCATAATCTACACGAACTAGATAAGTCGGATCACCAATACACTATAACACTTCAGTATAAATAACACATGCACAAATACGAGAGGGAGAGAATGAGAATTTCAGAAGAGCTTTTATATTTCCAACAAAACTTAAAATTTTCAAACAACTTTGTAGATATAGCAACAAATATTACCTTGAGATGTATAGTAAACTAAATGCAAAATAACCAATCAGATACCATCAGAGATCAGTGAGAAGATATAAATACAAAAAAATTACTGCGAGTTTCTTTACATGTCATACCTGCTGTTTTCAGCAGAAAGAAATAAAAGCTACGTGTTTCTAAGTCTTCTTAATAGTTATACTTTTTTCACTCTCCTTTTGAAGAATATGAATTATGGGTAAAGTTGTGTGGAATTATGTGCTTTAAACCTGTAATAGCAAATAGAAATGAAACGTTTATCTGCAATTTCGAGAGAGGAAACAAGCGTTTACATGAACTCGTAATTTATAGTGAGACTATAAATTATAAATGACCTTTGAGCGATGTTAAAATGACCTTTAGAATGTCCATTTACTAATTAGGACTAAATGATGGTTATAAACCAGTGTAGAAATTAGAATTAAGATTTAGATTTGATAGCTAGGGTTAGGATATAAATTTAGGGATTTCATCACAATCTGACATCAGCTAAAATGCCAAAACTCTATTTGGCCAAACGGATAAATGGATTTCGCGCCTTGACTTATCATCGTAAATATGATTTCGTCCATAAAATATAGTCTCGCCAAATTTGTATTTCATATCTTTAATTTTTTATTTCATTTCGAAAAAAAATTAACTGATCAAGATAATATCAAGGTTATTTCGTAATTTTTTCAATGATTTGAAATTCTTAAAATTTAATATGCTTCTCTAATTTGACTAAAGAATATGAAATTGACACACCACATCCAACAGTTCGGGTCTACACCAACTTTGATTATCTTAATACGAAGGAGCACAGCACTTAATCAGTTGATCATAGAGATTTCCAAACTGAGTATTGATGTCCAATATAGGTATTTGTATCATTGAGACGGAAATATTAAAACCCGAGAGAAAGTGCCTGCTTTTGACGAGCAGATAATACAATGGAGGAAAAATTAGTGACACATTTGTCAAGATTGAGTGGAAACAAGTTACTGACATGATTATTATTGTAGGGTTTTTTAAGTTTTTTTCGATCCTTTTTTCTTTTTTGATGTGATGGTACTGCAAGAACTGATGAATTTAATACGGCAAATATTATTATCCTAAGCTCCATCAAATATCATGTGACAAATTTGCCAGTCAGAACACCGACCTACATGACCTAGTCACTGTGCTAAAAAAATGATACGTTAATCAGCACGACCAGCCCTGAGTCAACTCTGAGTTCTTATTGGTCCTCTGTGTTATAGCTTCTCGCCTAACACAACCCGTTAGGTTCCAAAACACAAATATCAGTCTCCATCATATGGATCGTATATTTCAGACATAAGTGGTTTATATACAAGTAAATTAGATCACATCACACCATGAAATGAAATATAATAATTATAAAGGATCAAGCCAAAAGTCGCTGTGAGTGTGGGAGACTTTAACTAATAGATTGAAAATACCTTGAGAATAGTAAATCGTATAATATTAGCTAATACTTCAAATGAAAACTTATAATAAAAGAAATATAAATATATGTAATCTGGTTACTTAATAGTTAAATAATAAGAACATATAATAACAGTTCATAAATAATTCACTAAAGTTACCCATACTTTAATCTTCTTTCAGATATAACGTCAAACTACAGACATTTTTGTTAATGTAAATAATGCTTGAGGATAGAGTTCAGTGAAGTTGATCAGTTTTCTTTGATAGTTAGGTATTTGTGATTTAGTCAGTTGAATTAGATTTGAGATATTTTATTGAGGTTTATTTAAAAGTAGATGCATATCTAATTGGTTTAGGAGATTTGTGGCTTGAAAAACAAGATTTATTAAAATCTAGTTTGACTTGTTCTCATACAGTTTCTTTCTCTAGCCCACTTAGGTACGCACTCAACTGTCGTTACTTGCAGATAACAATTTCTCCTATCTATGTGTGTGTAACCCCACATACACATTCCTAAACCGATTTTTGCAGCACCGTAATGTTGAAAAAGAAAAAAAGAGATCGGAAAAAACTTGAGAAACCCTACAATAAAAATAATCATGTCGGTAATTCGTTTCCAGTCAATCCTGACAAATATGTCACTAATTTTTCCTCCATTGTATTATCTGCTCGTGAAAAGCAGACACTTTCTTTTAGGGGAGCATATTAACTTTCAAAAATTTCAAATAATTGATACGGCCAAGGATGGGGAGAGTCAGCTCTCTCTCGAAGTGCTCTCACATGGCCATGTGCATACATCCACTGCCAGTGAAGTCCTACTCACTGTCTTCTCGCGGTGCGTGTGTTGTTTAGGGAGTTGAGAGAAAGAAAAGCGAACCGGGTTAGTGGACACGAAGGGTCTACCCAGGGGAGTTGGAAAACCCTGATTCCAAACCAATGGTGCACATGGGCTCCCGTATACCGATGGAACGAATGGCATAAGAACCTATTTTTGATCATTAGCTACCACGGGACTGCTCCACTGCCTTGTGGATTGGACCATTAGGTAGAAGGCTCCGAGTGTGGTCCCTTAAGAAAACCACGTGCTCCGGTTTGGGCAACCGGGCAGTATCCCATCCCTTACGCAAACCGAATAATTTTTGTGACGCGTATCTATTTTGTGCCTCCTTGTACCAATATTTATGTGTTTAAATAACTAAATTTGAAACTGGGAGGGAATTATAAAGATCCAAGAAACTACTGTTATTGTGAGTTTAAGAATCAAGTTGTTGATATTCAGAACTAAATTTTGGTTTGACCTTATTAATAGTCATGAATATCAACAACGAGATCATTAGTAGTTTTGCCAGCAATAATAAGTTGCCTACAAAATACTCCCAAACCAAGCAGGGACACGTAACTGACTTCAAGGTTATGGTACTTATATAGTCACGGGGGTCGTTTAGTTAACAATAAGTGTGAATTTAACGGTTGGATCGCATTATGACAAATTTCACCAAGGTAAATATAACAATATATTTACAAAGCGTTGTAATATTCAGGAATATACCAATACGTGAATGCTGAAAGTGAAGTAACGATAAACTTATTTACAAAAAATTACGAAATGTATTTGTGTTCCATTTTAATTAATGCTAATTGCAAAATTTATAGTGTTGGAATTAAGGTTAGGGCACCATATTTTATGTGCTAGACTTCGAGTCCCTATGATCCACTTTGAAGGATCTCTCATTTATGTTAATCTAATATATTCTCAGTAAATTCTTTCATTTTCTGTTAAAAATTATTCATTTACTTTTGTTGCTTTCTGCTTAACTAAAACGCGTTAAAATTTTAAAGTCATTCAGCAGTATATATAAATTCACCGTAATAATACGCACTGTGATATATGTTGAATAATTTAGTGGTTATCTGAACTCAGTAACCCAGGGAAAAACATGTCATTCGAAGTGGAAGTTACTTAGCTCTAGTCTCAGTTTGAGGATCTACGTGAAGATACAAATATATCCATATGATGGGTCTCAAACAAAACGAGACGTGCTCATAGTGCATTCCACTCCCAGGCACAGTGTATTTATGCTATAAGGTTTGAAAAATAATTTTACAACAACTTAATTTCTGAAATATCTTTTTCTAATCAACTCTTTATAGACCATTGTATCAAGATTCCTTATTTCCACTTTATTTTGATGGAGCTTCGCTCTGTCAGTTGATGGATCCGAATTCCACTAAAATCACCCACCTAAGCTGTAGATCTCTACCATTTCACTTCCATTTTGTTTTCGATAACTTTTTAGAAGTAATCTGCTGTTTTTATTCATGATTATTGAATCCCATTTTCAACCTAAAATAAACATACATGCCACAATATTCTACTTCAGATAAACTGTAAAGACAAATACCTAATGTATCATGTATTTTCTATTTATACTGTCAAAAACCAAAGTCACTTTCAGATATTGCATGTCTTCTAACGGGTACAATTTTTGAGTGATTTAATCACATATTTACTTGTCAAAATTATTTTATATGAAACAGGAATAAAGTCATATAGATAAATTTTGACAATCTGAAATTTTCAACCTTCACCATCAATGTAAGCTAAGATGCTTATCATCAATATCTCATTGTTAAAGTTCAGTTTCATTCAGTCAGTAATAGGCGACATAGAACATGGTAAAACTCTGCATTGGTCTAACGTTTCCGACTGTGAAGTACGCAAATTATGCCTACTGATATACCTCAGACTTCATGGGTCCATGCTATATCCTGATCTTCCTGAGCCCCCTAACTTCTGTTCAACCTGATTTTTTATTGGTCTGTATTACACATCGAGGTAGACAGTGGTTAGTTATTCCATAACATTTCTTGACTAAACTAATCGATGAAATTTTTAGGTTTCATCTGTTGATTATTCTGGTCTCCTATGACCAACCCCAGCGTTACTTACTGTGTGGTTCTACTATGAGGCAGCAATCCCTAATTCCAATTAGATAAAATTGACTAATACAGTTAGTCTCATCAAGTAAACCAGTTTCTTAGTTATGCTTACGGATATGGCACTCTAAATAGTTGTATTAGCTTTGAAATTATGATTATGATAAGATGTGTGATCATAAACTCCTAGCGAAAAATGAATTTAGTTTCGACTTGACCTCTAAATTATTTTCTTATAAAGCTCTACTTTGTTTTTCTTTCAAGTATGGTTGTACAATGTAGTTATTAAGCGCAAAAGAGATAGGATAGCTTTAAATATGAGGTTTTATCATCTCTGATTCAGCAGACTCATGTACTTGCGTTTCTGCCCATATGAGACGCGAATTGAAATAACAGCTGTACGTTTTTAAGTTGGTAATGAACTATTGCTACTGAATAACTCGATAGCGTTTGAAGTTAAAAGTACTGGGTTTGAGTCCCGGAGTGAATATCAACTCTGGGATGCAAGTACATCCAGCTGACAAGTCGCAAATGGATTTTACTGCTAGCCACCATACATCGTTGCTTAAAACTTGCTATGTTCTTTGGTGCCAAGTGTTATTTAAATCAAATCAGCTTCAATAATCCTGACGTGCTGAATTCATCCAAGTTGATTAGTAAATATTGATTCAAAATTGTCACCGGTATTTTGTAGTTTTTTTTGGCATATGGTTAACCCAAAAGAGATTTATATAGAAAAAACCTCCTTTTTCGTAGATAACGTTCGTCGCAGAATAATTTTATTTGGTGAACTCTTAAAAACTAGGGATCACTGGACAGCTTTTCTGTCTCAGTATTGAACTTTTGAGCTGTGTCCGCTAACAATGCCACCGAGGATCAAACCCGGGGCATTTAGTTCTAGCGGTGAATATGTAGCCACTATAATTAGCTGACATCCAATGGTATAATTCCAACTTCAATCAATTCGACTTATAGTGCGATCACCATACAGTCTCATTGAAGATAAGTGTTTCAATAAGTCTGAACCTTTTTGAAACGACTTTATCACTGTATTTGTTTTGAATTAGAATTCTTCTTCAAATAGAAATTTTCTGTGTTGACACATTTTCATGTAGGTTTGAAACAATAATTGCTGAAGATAGCTATGAAACAATTAAAATATCAAATTCGGAACAGTTAGCTGAATTCCTTGAAATGTATCCACCAGGCGATACAGTTGAGTTTTCTGAACTTCCATTTCCTAAACAGTTGTGCTTTTCATGGATGGTACCTAAAATTTATCAAACTGTTCGTGAATACATTAATTTGTGTTATCGGTTTTGTGAAAATATGGATTTAGCATACACAGAACTAGAGGATACAATTAATCGTGCTACAAATTTCCTATTCAGTCAATGTTTAAATACAGTTTTAACTTCGGGCGTTCGTTCATCTTTACGTCAATTACCTCGACTTACGCAATTCTGTATAAATTTGGATGAGTTAGAAACAGTTTGTGGGCATTTGGATAACTATCTTCAATACACCTTGCTAGATGAGGCTTCAAGTATAACCAGTGGTCGTCTAAAAGATTTCGCAATGATTAGGGTAAGTTTCTCTATCTTCTGTATTAAATATTACATTTAGAAAAGACTAGTCGAGTTATATTGGTTGGAACACTTATTCCTTTAGATCTTACCATCCTAGGCTTGTCTGTTGGAGAATGATAAGTTTCGAGACATCAACTTCAGGTCCGAGAACAAAGTCATCCTGCTAGCTGTACCAGTGTGTGTCAGCATTAAGGTGTTTCCCTCAAACAACCGGTTTCTGTAGCAATGCTTCCTTCTGATAACGAAATGTGGGATTAGGAAATATCATTTTTGAATGCAGCATATCTCAGCTCGCTTATCTGATCTCCATATTCAGTGGTAAGGGGTCGAAAATAAGGTGTTAACAAATCGACAACCTCAGTAGTAGTTATCATTGATTTATTGGAACATTGGTACAAGGAGGTACCAAATACATATACCCCACGCAATAACAATGAGGACAGTAGTAGTTATCATCCCTAATAACACTGGAAACCAAATACTCGTAGGATTACATTATGCTAATAGTGTTTTGTAACTACTGAGCAATTAGGAATAATTTTCTTAGCATTTCGCTTTTTATTTGTTGAATAAGAGTCATCATAAGCATTATTTTGTAAATGTTAAAAAGTAATACACCGAGATTCCTTACATTATAGTGAATATTTAAATAAAAAAACACATCAAAATATCAGTGAATGGTTTCACTATAAATGTCAGATTTTGTATACTCTATTCATAAGTGATACTTCCAAAGGTTTTAGCTCATTCTGTTAATTGTTTGAAAAGTATTGCACGCCAATTGAATTGCGTTGATATTTTAACTACCGAAAACAAAACAAAACAAACAGATAACGTGAACTTTGGTCAACTCATTCATTCATGCCTTGACATGCTACTTTGCATAGCTGTATACATTGCAAATCGACATGTATAATTATATTAGGGTTAAGCACTTTGTAAAATATTGAAATTGATAATTAATCAATAATAAATCAGTATAAAATGTCCTAGTCCTACAATAGTAAATCAGATGGTTCCTGAATAACTCAGCGACGACGCTTCTGTCTGTAATGGAGATTCAAGTCACAGTGGATTTAAACCTAGAACTTTCTACCTATTATCTCCAACCACTTAACATTAAACATACCTGTCCGATCGACAACCTCAGTCAGTGATTTGAGACCTCGATTAAAATTGTTATAAGTCATAGTGACGCAGTACTGCCTTCCCTCTTTATCCTCCTCCAGATCTCAAATTTTAGTATCGCTTCATTTTCTACCATTCATTCTGTCTTTTCGAACTACCTTCTCAATGTTCAGTCTTTCTTATGATCATTGCTACTATATTATTTCTATCTTTTTTGATATGTTTTTATACCAGTGTTGTATGTTAATACATGTTTGTTATATACTGTATGTCGTTTATGAATAACCGAAACTTACCTGTTTATTTTGGTGATATGTAGTTTGAAACAGATAGTCTAATTACAAAGCTTTCATTATTGTTCTTGGTAACATTATCATCGCCTACTTCATGCAAATTGTTGACATGAGAAATGGAAAATAGCTTTTAAAGACGTATGTTGATCAAAAAGCATCGAGAAATTAGAAGAATATGGTATTCTAGGTTAATAACATAAATTATTAAACTCTATTTAATAATTAATATATATAGTTAACCACCGGATTGTTTTATGGATTTATTTGTTTCGTTAATGAGGTGGTACAAATATGAGGAATTTCAGTTAACGAAATTTTCGTATCATATTGTTTACTGTATGACTATACTATTACAATACATTCTCGTCTTGAGGATCACATGTCAGTGTATGATACTTCATAATAGCGAAGACTATTCGGTTTACAGCGTATTTTATTTTCACGATAAATTTTCAGTATATATGCACCTGAGTTTAAAGTTTCAGAAAAAAAGCTCTTCAACCAGTTAGTGTTACAAAGTGGGATATTTATAATTATTTAAGACTCTTCATCGTTCCACATCACCGTGTCTTAGATCACCTGTTGTTTTAATTTCCCCTAATGTTGCCTATTTATCAAGTTTAAATTCCTGTACTTCATTGCAAACCACATGATATTGTTTTGAAAATAATTATGCTGCCGTATTATTTAAACTGAAGAAGTTATAGCCAGGTTCCTACCACAATTCACCGGTTAAACGTTGATTGTTTTAATCACTAATCCAATACTCCCTAATTCTTTCATATTTAATTTTACCTATCATTCACATATACTTCTCTCACAAACATCATGGCCTGAATTCCAATATCATTCTGTTTTCAAATATTTTTAAAAAAATTAATTATTGGATTTACTTAACGTTTAAAATAATTCTAGTTCTCGTAAAATCTTTTTGTTCAGGATAATCAACGTGAAGATCCAGATATGACTACATCAGTTACGTTAAACTCTGGAGCTAATCCACCACGTAGCCGATTACAAGGTGCATCACTACTTAAAGACATACGTGTATTGGTTGAAGATCAAATTTGTAATCATTTAAAGGATAATGTTGCGAAGTTCATTAATTTAAGTAACTATGATGATACTGATGATAATAATAGTGGTCAAACTAACAATAACACCAATAAAAATGATCAATTATTAAATAATTCTCAAACTGTTGATGGACGTAATGGTGTAAGTTATATAACTAATACAAAAATTAAACCAACTGAAAATATTGTACATTTAACATCGTGGTTAAAATCAGTGTTCGATTCATTTTCAAACCTTCCGCCGAAAATCGCGCAAACTGCTTGTATATCAGTCTGTAAACATATTGCTCGTTTATTGTATGATGTTTTATTTGGTTCTCAAGTAAGTTTATATATGTTGACAATTTAACTAAATCATCTTCGTAATTCCTTTTTCGTTATAATTGGTAAAAATAAACGTGAAGGTTATCAAATTTTAAGCATTGAAAACTTTTTATGCCATCAGTTGTTGTCCCATAATTTAAGTACACATAATTAAGATTTAGTGGTAAAGTGACTGAACATTATTCAATGAACTCTAGTGTTATTTGGCGCCCTCAGTTTCGTGCGCAGATGAATAACCTTTAGACCACTGAATCGGTATCCAATAGTATGTATGTTTAATGTCAACCGGTCCACAATATTTTGCGACTATTTCCCTTCGCTTGTTGTAGATAATTTTCTTACACTCAGAATTAGAGCAAAACCATGATCAATGGAGTTCAACCATGTGAAATATAAGACAGCTGTTCATCGTAGGCAATAAACTATTTTTTTATTTTTCAACATAGTTTTTTTCTGTTGTGAACTAAAACCAACTGCAGAAATATTGAAAAGCAGAAAGCATGAAACCAGTTTCCTTTTTTAATCTAGTACTCTGTACCCAACCATACAAAACCGTAACCCCACACAAGATTGAACCGGAGATATACAGGCTGCTTGGTCAACAAGTACTTTTAAAATATTGAGTCAAAATACATTGGTTTCTATCTACAACCTCAGCCATATTATAGAAGTAGAATGCAGCCAGAAGCTATCAAATGATGTTTGCTTTCTAAGTGTTCTTTCCGTGAAATCTATCTTAAAAATACACAAATTTTTGTAGAAAGCGTATATATATTACTACATTGGACCATTCAGAGAATTCCAAATGACACGTGGACGTGATAGGCTAAACAAATATCTTGATTTTTCCAAAGGATGAGACATTAACCACTGATAGGCTTAATTACCTAAGTGACAGACAGTTATATGTAAATAACTTCCACACAAACCTAGCCACTCGAGAGGAGAGACAAAGAGTGAGGAAAGAAGTCTATTTGGGCTAAACCCATTCAGATGCATATATATAATACACAGAAAGGAATAAGAAAAAGGGTCGATCATGTATATTCATTATTTATATCATATTCCGTTGGAGTTTCAGACTTTCGACCCTATTGGTATTTTTTTGCTTTCGTTTATCAACCGTATTGGAAGTTGTTCACATTTATGCATAAATCTCAAGTACACCAATGTTTGTTTTTCATACACAGATTAAAATATTTTTTAAATGTTATAATCAATTGATATTTGTATAATTTAATCAACTTCACTGTTTCAACTCAGATAAACTTTGTCTATACATGTTCAGTTGAATAATTTGATTAGAATATACGCTAAAAATACATCGATCATTCCGTATTGGTAATCAATGTTTCTGTTGGGATATTCAGGAAAATATCCCAAAAATTATTCTGTTAAGTCTAAGGCTATCCTTGGATTTGAAATGGTGTCATTTCCTCATTGGTCCATGTTTATTTCACGTGTCATTTTCCTATTGGTCAATATTGTACAATGTTATTTTCTATTTTATGGTACGATGTGGTCTGCTTGATTAGTATATAAACAGAGTGTGTTTGAAATATAATGATTCATATCTCAGAGGCTAAGACTTGCGTTCTGGGCTCAACTGGCTGGGTTAGACAGGGAAGCGGGACCAATCGAGACTCTAGGCCGTTCATTACGTATCACTGAATCAATCAATAAAACGCTGCGCATCTAACCTGCAGTCCACACGTTACAACAGTTTCATTGTTTAATGACCTAGACTTACGATTAATAGTTTTTCAATGTTCTCTCAAAGTTATGGGATACTATTTGATAACTCGATGTTTAGTCGCTATCTGTTTGAAACCTGTAATATTTAAGGTCTCAGGCGGCTCTGCAGTATGCCATAGTCTTCACCAAACAGGAATAGGTTATCTGTGTTTACTCCGTATAGATAAGGTTGCTTAGTGTTTCTAAGTTGTTTGTCAAACTGGTTTGCTAAAGATTTTCATAAAAATGATCAGTTTCTCTAAATCTCAATTTTTCAGACTTATATATACCACTCATTGATGAAAGTATCAATAGATATTACGTTGTATAATTCAAGACTTCTGTATTTTTTTTACTGAAATTTTCAATTCATGGTGTAGATCTTTTTGGTTTTAATTTTTTTACAAGATTTCCTTTTATTTCCTTACAGCATTTACTTCATATTTTAGGTGCGTTCTCTTTCCGAAACGGGTCTTCAACAATTAAGTATTGATTTATCTTTGTGTGAATCATTTGCACGTTCACAACCTGTTCCAGGCCTAGATCGTACTACTCTTTGGTTGATTTTTGCTGATTTAAGACAGTTATTGGATTTATATCACAAAGATGATTGGACTTCATACATTGCATTTCGTAAAAATGTTACCGGTTAGTAGTTATCTTTTTTATGTGTTCTGTGAAGTTGCTTGAAATGTACATACTGTATTATTTCGTGCTTACTTATTTTGTTTCCAAGGTTTGAATGCGGCATCACAGACACAAATGTTGGTCGATAAACAAAAGTTATAATAGTAGCTTAACGCAGTGTTTTCATACTGATCTGTTGTCGACTGATGTGGTATTGAAGGTTAATGATACTTAATGGATTATATTACATGTTCAAGCTCTTAAACACCGATTTTAAAACTGCGTAGCTACTACAAAAAACTCCCTTTAAATTTGTTTCAGAAAAGTATCTGTGTATTTAAATTGCAAAATGAATTAACACAGTTTTTTAAAAGATCTACAACTTATCATGATACTCATTACAATAAGATAGAACCAGGAAAATCACAACAGTTGGAACGTTTTTGTTCTTGTCTGTTCTTTGAAGAAGCAAGGTGTGCTCTGGAATCAAATAATTGAATATAATATGCGGTACGAAAATGATCAAAAACTTCATAACTGAAGATGAAATGACTGACTAACATTGTTGACATATTCTTTCATACGTATTTTGTAAATAATTAAATATTATATATACGTTAATATGGGATCTGTTGGAATATCGCACGTTTTTAGTTAAGAATTTTTTACTTCAACCAAGAATAAAAGTGTTGATTATGTCATTCCAAACTTGGTAGCTGGATAGTACAATACGCTCTGTAAGTTGAAAGGCTTCAGCTGAACGTACTCATGACTTCAAACAGTAGCTAACTGAAAATGTTAACAAGCAGCATGAGCATCATTTAATATCATTGAATTTCAGCTCGGTCGCTAAATGACGTCGTATTCCAAAGATCCTGTGCACTTCATAGATATGCTCAATTTCTTAACCAATCTCAAACTATCATTAAAAGGCTCTTCACTGGCACTTACTTTTTAATGGTTTCTCAGCCGTTGTCCGTTTATGAAAAAGAGATCTATGTAGCTTTATTACTTTCTTAATGTCTTGAGTAGAAAATAGATATGATTTTACTGCTTTCTCGTTAGTGATGACCCCGTTATTATTGACTGAATACTGATAATGTTCGCTAGTGATAACCTCAACTTGCAAACTAGTCACTTCTATCATAATGTCCAGTCCTATGTTCATGATTTATCTGCAAGATACTTTGTATCAGATTTTTAAAAATTAGTAGTAATAATCACGCACATATTTTGTAATGAAATTTATTTCTCATGTGTCTACCTTTTCTAAAGCATGAGATACACACCATCGGTGTATAAATATAGCTTACGTTTCGAGGGGGTATATATAATTTCTCATTTTGGCAGGCCAACCAAAAACGTCCTCACTCAACTAGCCATCTGGGCTCACGAATAAGAAGCTTGTTTATTGACATCATACAACCTAACAATTACCCTTGATGTAGCGATTTTGTGTTTATTCTCCATCACCTACCTTAACGTCCATTGTCAGTCGACACAGCACGTTAAAAATGTGTTTGGTGTAGGCACATTAGGACGTGAATAACAATAATCCTAAAAGCCATTAACTGCTCAAACTTTCCGGTTAGGCCCTACAAAACTGTCGTGAATTCTCTAACGGTTGGAGACGTTAAAATTACGTAGCCCAAAATGTTTCACTATATGTAACATTATCATTCCTTAATCTTATTTTATCCTTTCTCAAGTTTAGATTTTCATTGCAGTCGATATAATCTTTTCTTTGTTTCGCATCTTTTTAATTTTCCATCTCTCTATGTTGACATGAATTGTGGTAACTTGCTTCGATATATATTCCTAGCAGGCCTTATATTGATGATAATTGGCAGGCTATATATTTTTTCCCCATGACTCTTTTACATAGTGTTTTGTCTCTCACTTAAAATCGATTGATGATAAACCATTTTCTTATTCTAGATAAAGCTGTCAAATAATCTGAAAATAAGTTTGCTGTATTTTAATTTAATTCAATGTGATTGTATTTACCGACATGTTACTTACGTATTTATTCATAAGATCATTGTATTTAAAAAATGACGAGGTTATTCACATGATCAAAATTCAAGTAAACTAATGAAATAAGATTTAAACAAATTAATTCTACAAAAGAAATACTATGATCAACAAGCTGAAAATATAACTGTGAATATTCATTAGTTTGAAATAGTAATATGTAAATGGCAAATAAGAAAACTACAAGTTTATTCAATAGTTTAAAGCATGGTTCTAACAAATTGTTTCTGTATCCACAACACAGATTTTGAATTATGAATAATTAAAACTTTCTCAACATAATGTATAGTTTCAGGTATACATCTTTTGATATGTTTGACTTAATTCTGTAAATAATAAGTCATAGGCTGGAATGTCTTATGTGGATTATACATTGTAGAATACATGATCTTATTTTCTATACTCGTTTTTCACTTAATGAACTGTATCCCACTTTTCATATTCCAAAAAAAATTTATTCTTATCTATTCTTTTTTTCCATAAAAATTTTGTTTAGGATCGGGAAAATATGGTAAGTTTTGAACAAAACGAATGTGCTACATATATATTTTTTCAATGAATAAGTATTTTTGTCTTTTTTCTGACAGAAAAATAATAAAGATGAGTGTATTTTTATTGGAAAAATTTCATCTTGATAAGTCTTGCTAATTGAACGCTATATTCGATTCCTAAGCTATTCTCGTAACCGCCAAACTAGAACAATACAGCGACCTGAACACGAGATAAAAGGTGCAAAATATGCGAGAAGCACTCTACTTCAAAGGTTCGTTTTAGTACAAAAAATATAGGGTTTTTATAGTTTTTTTAGATGTCCCCCCTGGGATGCTACTAAACATAGTAGCAGTATAGTAATCAGCCAATCAGAAACTCTACATGTGACTTTTCACTTTCTTGATGTTTTTAGCTAAACTTCTACTGAACACTGATTGGACAAAATGCTTCTTAGTGTTTCCTGAGCCTTTCTTGTCTTTTGCGAGAAGTTTTCTGGATCACCCCAACACATCTAATGGTTGTATAGATAAATATATTAGAAAATAATAATAACATATTAGTTACAAATTTTTACACTCAGCTCTAACCTACACTTTGAATTGTGTATTAACTAATGATTACTACTGTGGACTGCCTAAATTGTATTATGATAAGTGGAGTTTATTTATTTACTTGAACACATGAATATTGATATAAAGGGGAACTCAATACATATGCGCCACACAAGTCTCTTGATTTATGTGCGGGCTGTGATACTATCCATGTACCTAGACCGAAGCAGATGGTTTCCTTAGGGGGCCACATCCCGAGTCTTCGAGCTGAAGGTCTGATCCACAAGGCAGTGGAGGAACGTTGGGAGATGCAGTTCCATCGTAGCCGGTGACCAACGATAGGTTCATACGCCATTTATTTCCTTAGGATCCTGGAGCCCTTGTGCACCATTGGTTTGGAATCAGGGTTTTCCAACTCCCCTAACTGGATGGTCCATATCCACCAACCCGGTTAAAGCGCTGGGCATTCGCTTTTCGTCCTCTCAATTTCGTAAACAACACCCGCGGCGCGAGAAGGCAGTGACTGTATACACGTGACTATGTGACAGCATTTCGAGAGGGAGAGTTGGCTCTCCCCACACCCGGCCGTACCATGCGTTAAGTAGAGTTTAAATCTATACGACGCAAGGGTTGAAATCTTTTAACTACTAAGCTACTGTTTTATGATGAATAAGTATTAAATCCCTTGCTTTATTACAAACTAACAATTTGTTAACAAATACATGTTGTACTAATTACTATACAAATAAGCTGTAAATAATTAAATCAAAGGATTTTATTGTCTTTTGTGTTGAGTTCATTTTAATCTCTTCTGAGCAAGTTTAATGAGATAACTCTTAAGAAACTAATTATTGTTCAAATTATTTTTTAGTAATGAAATGTATCGTGCAGATTTATAAACTGTCAGATGATATTTTAATGTACGCACAGTGATGATATTTATCATTTAAGTTTCCTCCTACCATATGTAAAATCTACATTTGGTACATTTTAGTCTATCCTACATAAACGCAAATCTTATTTTTATAATGTAATTCATATACACAATCATTCTAGGATTATAAACTTTTCATTATTGTCTTTTGTTTTCCAAGCAACATTTGGTGGAACAATTTATACAACGAATTGGTATTAGACTTGAAAGTGATAAGAGTTATTGTAAAAAATATTAAGGTTCTTTTCTGGTTTATCTAAGTGAAGTTTTACTAAAATACAATTTACAAGTTAATTTCAATATCTTTATAACACAAATATTGTGTTTTTTTAAAAAATTATTTCAATTCATTAATAGGCAGTGCTTATGATCGTGTTCCACCGAGTGTAGCAATTAAACTATTAGAACGTTTACGTGATTCCGATAAAAAGCGTACTGGATTCCTTCAAGCAATGCGTAAAGAGGAACGTGGTCGAAAGAAAAAACTCGAAGATATAATTCGTCAATTACGTGAATTAAATGTTACACCTCGAAATAATTAATCTTAAAATTTCATAATTAGAAAGGGAAAATAATGGAACTTATCTAGAGCGGAATATCACCATTTCTCTTATTTGCTTTATCCACATTCAAAACAGCTTCGTCAGTTTCCATGCTGTTTCATATATATATATAAAGCTTACATATTTTCATGTAAAAAGTTACATACTAATTTTTTGATTTATATGTTCTTTTGTTTCTTTCATCACCAAATATGTACACATAAATTTGTAAAGTACTACATATTTTTTATTTATAGCTGAAACAATGCAAATGTTAATTCCTTGATTACACAATGGGTTTTTTTTATAATGAAAATTCATTTTATTTCGATGAAAATAAGTGAAGATAGACTAAAGTATGTAGGGAAAACTGACCTCCAGAAAATGGACGTGTATAACCAATGCGTTATAATTTGTTGTGATTCATAATTTCTGACCTTTTTGTTTTAATTACATTTTAGGTATGAGAACTAGTGATACCGGTAATATGCAAACTAAATTGAAGTCTCCTGAACCTTCCACTATACAGTTAAATGTCTTAACCACTAAGCCATCTCCCCATATATGAAATGGTTTACCTCGGTATCCTTAATTATGGTGTAATAGTATGTTACATTAGGTACTGAATGTATTCAATTTACAAGAAGCTTATCAATTGTTTTTGACCGTCATATCATAATCATTTCGAGCAACAAATATATGTCATACTTTATTAAGAGATTTCTATGAGGACTGAAAAGTGGACAATATAACATTGAATCTTTCCTGAAGAAATTAGTTAATGCGTTCATTGGATATGACATACTAAGTTATTGTATGTTGATATGGTGGTAATTTCATTATTGCTTGTTGTTTCGTGAATATAATTGGAAAGATCTAGAGACTTCGTATTTCACATTAAACATAGTTTACAAGAGCGTGACTGTTTTGAGTTCTCTCTTGTTGGCTTTATGTCAGTAATAAAATGTTTTATTTTTATCAAGTGTATTGTTCTACAGCATTTTATTAATGCTATGATAGACAATAGTGATTGGTCATCTTGTGATCTTTATTTTTGTCGTCGATTTATTACTTAACACATAAGTAACTTACAGCCACGCAATTCATGTTTAATAACTCTTCATATATTTAATAACCCGCATTCCGGAATACATGTTCATATAGCTAGTCCGTTGATCAGTGAACAAATATAACATACCATACTGATAACTTGGTGTGGTAGCATCTAGTAAGACCAGGTTTATCAGTGCTGAAATATGGGCTGGATAGGATGTAAACAAATGAGGTGTATAACTTTCAGACACTATAGATACTAAATAATTGCCTGTTTTCAAATGCAGTCTGCAGTTACCTGTGAGGTTTTCGTTTGTTTACTTGGAAAAATAGCAATCATAAATAAAGCTTTTCAACCCAGTGATTATCTTTTAAATTGCAAACTAGAACAGATCTCGAGTGACATTCCCATTAGGACACAGACAAAACGTGTTCATGAAACTTATAAAGTCATATGTAATAGTGATAATATATATACATATCTTTTCTCTTATCCCACCTCCTACGTTTCTTCTGTACAATAAATTGCTCGGAATTTAATGCCTTTGCAGTGTGCGATTCGGACTCTTAACCTCGCCTACTAACAAATATTTGAAAAGCCGGCAAATGAAATTCTCATCATTTGATTTAATACTGTACCCAACAAATCATCTTTAGTATTTACTTGATTTTCATAAACATTGTATAATATATATTTACATTAATGCGGTAGATAATATGAAAGTCACAATCAGGGATATTTGTCATTCCCAAAAATTTTGGCGAAACTTCTACTTAAAAACTCACTATCTGCCCTAAACACTTACAAAGATCACACTGTTTCTTATTTTCATGTTTACAAAGCGCATGAATGTTTGAAAATACATTCTAGGTCATAAACATTGGGTAGTCAAAAAGTATTATCAGTTTTTTAAGCATATAAACCATTCCTACACTAATGCTCCAATGAAATATCCCATATACAGAAATGAGTGGTGCTTATGGTATGCAAGCATTGTCTTAATAAAGTCGTATGAGTTACGGTAATTGTGGTTAAGGAACTTCTCAGTTTAGTCCCTAGTATACATTATCAGGAACGATACGGTTTCGGAAATCCCTTATTGGAAGACTCCAGGTCTACAAAACTGGCGACCACAAGGTGAAAAGTACAGCTCCCTATTGGTTAGGAATTAGTTTTTCATTCATGGCTGGAGAGTTAGGAATGAATTAGATTGTTTGCATCAGAAGTTAGTAATTCCTGGACTACATGGAGCCAATATAGTCTTTTAATGGTCAAGCATTCCAGTTATATTGCGCGATAAGTGTTGTGATTTATGCTTCTACCAGCAGATAATAGATGGAAACTTACTAAGTGATTTTACTTGACTAGTTGAATAATGTGACTAAGTTTTAGGAAATACTATTTAATTTCAACCTGTTTCATGAACTTCAGCGTGGTGGATGAGTTCACGGAACATTTGGCATCTTCAGTTTATCCCTGTAATAATTAATTAAATTGTAAGGGTAGAGTACAAAAAAGTGGAGTATTTTTCAAATTACGATAATATAACCTCAATATATACATGCTATTTTACAGCTTACGTTATAACTTTAGGACAGTTTATCTAGAGTTTATTTAGTTTTGTAACAATTAGGATCCTGATTGCTTGATCGAATGCAACACAAACTGCCAATCCTAGCTTGTCTGGGCACCAATCTATGCTGCATATTGGTTGAGTGGACAAGGTGACATTCTGAAGCTGAGTTAAGTGACCGATTACACCTTGTGAGACTTCGATATCGCCATTCCCCTCTGGATCTGCTTCCTTCACTATCTTCTGACGTTTGCTGGGATAATGGTACTGCCATAAGCATAAAGATCCATTCCCACCAGCAGTCATAAATATATCACGTTGTTGTGGTAGATGGCTTACCTGCCAAATAGTAGCACCTTGATTTTTTTCGACTAATGATGCAAACCCTTTCTTCGGATGCTGTGTTCGCATATCCCATACATGTATTTTTCCTTCTAATGTAGTCGCGACCAGTTTATTCATAGATATATCTTTCCTATCAAACTGTAGACAACAGACACCGTTCTTTATGTTCGTCTCCCAACGGACCTTCATGGCTCGTAAATCAAATAACTTTATATCACCATTATCATAACCTGCAGTAAGGCATCTATCGTGCTTATTATATGCGTGGCCAAATGCAACAGTCCAGCAATCCCGTCTATTTTCAGTAACTGAGTTTTCTCTACCATCAGATGAAACAGGTTCCATGGTTGCTACTGGGAGTTTAGCTTGTCTTGGATCCCACACCTTGACTACACCATCTCTACTACCTGTGGCAATTTCTGGAGCCCCTTCGCCAACTCCAAGTCCTCCAACACCGTCTATCGCATTTATTATCTCTTTATGCGCTTGAACGCCGTAAATTGGATTATCAAGGCGTCCATCACTACTGATATCCCATATTGCTAGTCTTCCGTTAAACGCTCCAGTGGCTAAATGTCTTTGGGGGAGCATGGATGCACCAAATGTACAACATTTGAAAGAGCTACTTTTTTCACTCTAAAAAATATGAAACAACCACAAGGATTAAATTAGTTTCAAATGGACGAAAAAAGACATGTCATTTCGAGAATAATTTGAGTTTTTAATAAAAGAGTTGTGTTGTTCCTTAGAGTGCAAAGATGTTTTTTTAAACTTAGACTAACACTGAATGACATTTGATATCTTATGACGTAGGCGATATGTATTTTTACCTACCGAGGGGTGAGTACATTAAGCGGGTTCGTATCAATTTCATGGCCATAAAAAAGGCGTTGTAACCAAAAGAAATTCGTAGGCCGCATGTTTTTGATGCTATTTAACAATAAGAGTAATACATTGCTTGGTTATAGACTATCACAAACTGTAGTTGAACTAGACATAAATATGCACACAAAGGCTTCATAGGAAATGTTTTGACCGCACCCAAGTACCATTTTAGAAGTAAAACATATCTTTAGCCTGACACTTGATTCAGTGTCATTTCATCATGTGGTATCATCGACTGTCTACATTTTGAAGATGTGTATTAATTGTATGCTTTAGGTTAGCACGATCAACGAAGTCACCTAATTTCCTATGCTGAAAACAAAAACTTTCTTAGCTATGTCAAACTATTTGTTTATAGCTTGGCCATTTTGTTTGCGTGAAAACACTAACACAGTCGGGTTACAGTTAAAACCGCCTAATTACAATTAGGGTTTCATAGAAGCCCCAATAATATATCCCAACGGAAACTGATGTATAACATGCTTATATATGACATATCTTTGAAATTTGACCAAATCTTACTTCGGATACCAGTTGAATATCTTTCGCAGAGACATCGTATATTTGAATAGCGCCAGTTCCTCTAGGCTTTGAACCAACAACTACAAACTTGGCACTAACTGGAATCCATTTACAATCGAAAAGCGTGAAGTCGACAGACTTAGTTATATGTGCTATCATTTGCGGCTTGTCCATTGCGTGTAACCTAGGTAGCAAAGTAACGTACACAGTTGTATTAGGACAATGCTCAAGGTCATAAAAAGGTAAATGTAGTAACTTCAGTAATTTTAAATTGGTATCAGCAATTATTTCATACAATGATATCAAAATAGATAATATCTGTGCAAAATGTTTTCTGTGGTTTTCATCTGTAGGTTTACAGCGGCGATTCATTACCAAAAGATGTAGTTATGAAGATAAAGTGACGCGCGCTTTTCGAACGGGAAGTTTAGTCCTAACGTGATTTGCATATATCAAACTTTTGCTGTGTTCTTACGCAACAAAAGTACCATTTCAGTTCTAAAGAATCTATCCTGAGCTATACGTTCGGTAGATTACTTTTTTTTTGAGTTTCACTATATTTAATAGTTTGCCTCAGCTTACTATTCGGTTTTTTTGTTTTTCACGTATAGACTAGTTTCAGTTTATATCACTCGTTTTGTCCATTTTTGTCCGTTTTCAGTGTGCATTTTAGTGTTTTTTTAAAAAGGTCTTAAGCTTTTGTAAGCATCTATAACATAGTTTGCTTCAACACCGTCATGAAAAACTCATGCAAACGTCCGGGATGCCGTTTTGCTGTCACAACTGGCATGCAATGCGACAACTGCAAAGGTTGGTTCCACGAAGCATGCACAAATCTGACAGCAACTGCTTACAACAGTCTCAGCAAGTCAGACCAAAAGTGGGTATGTGTCACGTGCAACACGGACG